TAATAACGAAGTCAATCGACACAGTCTTATTGGTTGAAAAAGGAAATATCGATTTCGATTAAAAAATGTTTACTACACGGATAACTTGTGTAGGTTCGATGTTCGGTCTTTCTAGGGTAGAAGAAAGTTGTTATATGCGTAGTACTCACCTAAATCATGCACCGTAAATCAATTCGTTACTATTTATTACATGCATCGTCTAACAATAAATATAGCTCTACAGTTTGCTATAATAATCAAAAGCGCCATATTAAAAATATTTTGGCGCTCTTTATTAAAAATGTTATTATTAAAATCCAAATTTAGGTTCATGTAATCTATACAGACAAGTTTACTAGAACCTAACAAACTTCTAGTACTTATACTTCAAATTACTTCTAACATCTACTTTTCAAAGAAAAATATATAAAATTCCTAAACTCAACATTTTTCATATGGTAAGATGTTAGATATTTTCCTGCGTACATTGTCGTCCATAATTTTCTGGGTATCTAGCAAATACAGACGAATAGCGTACCAATACTGGTAGAATTACAACATTTTACAAAATTAAACCAATTATTTATTACTATATAAAATTAGTTTACTATCACGTAGACGACAAGCGTTATTGTAAGTAATAACCTGCATTTTGTTTGTATCGTTTTCACAACTGTTTCTTCACAAACTGTCAATCTCGAGAGCCTCAAATTCTTTCAAATGAACGTACCCATCTAATTAAAATAGAAAATTACCATATGAAGTCCATTGTAACGAGGAGAAAAAACAAACTAAGCGATCAAGTAGTTTAAATTCACTATAATAACATTGTAATTTATCGACAGTGGATCTTTATGCAATAAAAAAACGAAATAACCTTTTTAGCATTGAACCAAACGGCTTCGATTTGAGATGTTATACCGATTAGCTTACTAGCTAATAAGTATTTTTTTATAAATTACCTGTATCAGTATTAATCGATTTCGATTAAATTTTCAGCGTGCATATAAGTCATTGTGATGTATAAAACGGATTGTTTAAATCTTCGTCGCAGGCTCCGATAAAATAATTGAAAAAACATTATTTTTCTATTTTTCTCTCTCCAGAAAATTGTAATTTTTGTACAGATTTTTCAAAATATGAGTCATTGGTTTCGATACTAAAAGAATTGGTGCATTTTAAAATCTGTCCGAATATTATCGTTACTGATCGTATATGCGTGTCCGGATACTTTTGCACGGTATTGTATGTTCCGTTAATTGAGCGATCGAAAACTATTGGAAAGTTCTGATCGTGCAGGTGTGCACGTGGCTTTATAGAACGTCTCGTAGAACGGCTCTCACGGAGGATGCGCTGGATTATTCTTATTTCGTTGTGTCGGCGATCCGGATGTCGATCTCGATCGACTATTTGTACGCGCGGGACGGGACCTGAATGAAAAGTAATTCAGTAGTAACGCCCGGTAGTAATAGCAGTAAGTGCAGCTGGTCGTGGTCGTTAAGTACATCTCGTTGTACATTGAATAACGTTAATATTTCCGATATTCTGTTGCCGGCCGCGTAACGGATTTGACGGGTATATCGTTTTGTTACTCGTCAACGAGTAGGTGTGATTATACGCATTAAAGAAATCGCCGATCGGAGCAATTGGAAACCAGTTTCGCGAAATATCTTATTGGAAAAATCGACCGTTCTCATTCTTCTTATGCTCGGAACAATATTTTCTGATCCCATTGACGGACGTAACGTATTATTACATCTTCCTCAAGCAATTATTGCTTAAGGAAGCGTCGAAAGAAACGGCGACACGGAAGACCGGTGTTAAGAATACGTTATTAATTAGAGGCAGCAATCGAGCAAAAACGAATCGCCATTGCAGATATGTTCGAAGAATGATTACGGTGCAGAATCTTGCTAATGCGGTGTTAAACAAAGTCTTTGAATTTTATCGGGTGGTTAATGCTGTATTGGCTTGTTTCAATTTTTATTACCTGTTCCAAAGTAATGTTTAAACACTAGAATTTACGGACTGAGCCGATTTGACTTATTTCAAATTTTAATGAAACTTAAATATTATTTCTTAAATACATATGTTGGTTCTTGGTTACGTGATGAAATATATGTGAATATTAATTCCACCCCATCGCCGATCCTTTCATTTCACATTGTCCAATGTGGTATACCTATTTTTACGGTTATGAGCCAATTTGATTCATAAAATGGTTTAACAATTAATCGCTTTAAACATATGAAATTTATAACTTACGTGAAGAAACTTCGCACCAGAATTCTAAAAATATCTGATGCGTAAACATTCGTGTTCAATCTTGTCAATTTATTAGGTAGCTGGGGCCAATTCATCATATCGCGTGTCAACTGAGAATTTCTTGCAAAATAATACAAATTTATAAAATCAATATTTTGCAACAAAAATTTGGTCCATCAAGGTAACTTTGATATTTATTTGTAAATGGTATTTCAACTGATATTTAAACTGATTTGGAACTATATTCTATTGCAAAAAACTTCAATTTTGTTGTATGAGTCAAATTGATTCACTTCAGTAAAAATAAGTGTATAATCAAAAAAATAGTGCAGTAATCAAACGAAGTTAACAATAAATTTCTTCCTAAACAATATATTCTTACAGTTCTTTATTTTTATTAATATTCTTGTAGCACGCGAAAAATTTGATGGTACGTTTGTTCCTTTTATAGTTTACCGTTATATAGACAGAGACACGCTAGACACTATATGTGTATATACATATATATATATATTATATTATAATAATGTATATATATTAACATTTTCGGCTTATTGAAAAGTATTCATTCTTTATTTTACTGCAGTAATATTATACATATTATTATTATATACAATTATACATATATAAATAAATATTACTGCAGTAAAATAAAGAATGAATACTTTTCAATAAGCCAAAAATGTTAATATTACTCTAGAATATTTAATTATACCCAAGAAAAAATATTTATTTAATAGTCCAGGTCATAAGTGTTACTGATATATAAATTAGTTCCTATAAATGAAGCATTCGTCA